ATGGGATTTCTCGACTGCTGTCACATTGGCAAAAATGTGCTGATTCGAACGGTCAAAACGCTGAGAACTTTCCGGACAACCTAATATTAATGGCGGAGATGAGTAGGGCGTGACTTATTGTTAGTACTGTAACTGGACATGGCGTAGGATGCGTTTCACTTTCTCTGTTATACCAGCTCTTGGCGTTTTCATGCTGAAAACAGGTATTGAATGTGGATTCGTCACCGCATTGTTTGGGTCAAGACCACCCGGTCAAGGTCCCCATCCACAGTGAGGGGGTGCTCGTGATCATCGTGGTTTGAGGAGACGGTAAACGACTCCAAACACACCAAAAGTCCCTAACAGTTACAAAAACTAAAAACTGGCAAACTGCGAGATCGAATTCTCAACCAGCGCTCAACACCCTAGTGGAACAACTCTTAAAGTAAACGCGCCCCAATCACGTATTTCTGACCCAGTCGAACGCTGAGTTCTTCATGAACTTTCAGTGATTGATAACATTTTATCCCTGGGGAATGCCCAGATCCAAGCGGTACGTTGTGCAAGCTGATGAGCACGTTTCATTACAAGGATCACCACTTTCGGTAAGTTTCTCTCGTTGTTTGTTCTGTTTCGATCAAGTTTCACTGTGAAGACAGGCTCTAAGTAGTCGTGGTAGGTTTTCTCAATTTAGTCGACGAGTTTTATCTTTTCAGGAGCTTTATTTGTCGAATTCTATATACGCTGTATGGGATCACAACAATAGAATACTTATATTTGAGATGGGGCCCATAAAGCTGCTCAATTTTGAGGTGTTTTTATAGCCACTCTGCATAATGGGTGGTTGAGGGCGCTACCCGTATTGGGGTAGGGAGCTGGTAAGGACCGCTCCACAGCGCCTCGATTTTTTTTCTCGGCGATACTGCTGTGTTCATAGTTCGCGACTCGAGCGACCTAGTCGCCTAATTGTGAAGCGAAGCCTTTGCCAGCAAAGAGCCGTAGAAAGGCTAAGGAATTGTTTCCTGCCTGCCTCCCCCCAAACACATCAGTACCTGTCTGAGGTAGGGCCCCCAACGAACCAACATGTCCTGAATTGTTCTTGATGCATTTACTTTTTTATAATAGATGCAGTCACGGACCGTTCGCACTTGTTTCCAGTACCGGTGGCGCTAACGTAGTTAGGGACCATTTTATCGTGCTTCTATGTGCTTTCGTTTTTCCGGGGCTCAGTGGAGACTCTTCTGCGCTTCAAACCTGATCGCTTGTTAAGAGAAGGGACACAGTGGTGTGGGCGGATGGTCCCTCACCTTAACTACATTTACGCCCTACCGCTTGAGTAAGGCAAAGTGAGATCAACAGAATGTATAAGAGTCCCGCAGGATTATGAAACATACATCGAAGAAAGGAAATCCCATGTTATCTGCCTCTTTCAGTTCGTTCTGGAGAAAAGGGCATTGAACTTTTCGTTTTCTAATTTTCAGCTTTTTCATTTTCTCGCTAAGTTGGGTTTCTTTCGTAAATTATGCGAGATATCGTTACAGCCTTGGTCAGCCACGGAGCCATCGCTTCATGAATTGCACATGGCGAATGCGGAGAAGCTTGGACCCGGGCGTTATAGGCTCGGCCCTCCAAGTAAGGATTCAGTCTCATTAATGTGAATTTCTTGCTTGCATTAAGTACATCTTTATATTGTACCAGCTACGTGAGCTAGTAAATTTTCTGATCACACGCTTGTTTTTGGGCACAAATGACTTTTACGGGGTGGGGGAGGGGGCACGCGGGTTATGTGTCGAAACAATCGTACAGGTCCCACTCGTGGACGTGACGAGCGACGCTGCGCACGCGAGCGGCGGGTTTTCTTGCGCGACCATTTGAATAAAGTTGAAGGAGCTGGAAATGATATCGCAGCACATGGGATCTTGCCTCCGTTCGAATTCATATTTGTTTCATTACTCCAATCGATGGACTGACGCGCATCGAGGACTCGCCGCACGATAAGCCGCGCGCGGCGGCGCGGCACAAATCGCGATTGTCTTGTCTCCAGAGAAACATTGAAGTTCAAGAGCGAGGCAGAGTTTCCTTTCGTTTTTTGTGCCTCCATTCCACATCTTTGATGTTTTTAGAGATCTTCTCACCTGCTGCGCTAGTTGTTGATCGACTTCTGAAAACATCAGGTCAGGGATCATCTGCTGAATCCGATGAGTCGCAGTAAGTCTTGAACGTTCTAGTATTTAACTTGTGAAAGCACCATTTAGCGCATTCCGGCTCAGGACGGGGTGCGTTGGCACTTTCGCTATTTCCCGTCGTCGTGTTCATATTTACAAGAGTTGGCAAGTTCTCTACAAATTCCGACTTTTACCGCTTCGCAGTCTCACAGGATTTCACCAATCTTTATTTGATGGCTCAACACCTTGACGGGAAGTAGCGATAGTGCAAATGCCCCCCCCCCATCGCCAAAGTGCTCAGACCATCAAAACATCAGTTTCTCCGTTTCAGTTCTACTCTGGCTCCCGATATCGCTTATGTGAAGCTTTCAGCGATGGCTGCGAAGCCTTCTCCGAGGAAGAGGTATCGTGAACTTCGGCGTGAGTTAATATCGTTTGAAAGGTCATTTTTCAGAGTTTATTTTAATGATGTGCAACAACTGGAAGAACCGACGGCGAAAAAGTTAGTTCATGATGGGAAACAACTCGCTACGAAGTATCAAGGTATCTATTGCTGGGTTTTCTTTCTTCATTGTTTTACATTTGGGGCCGTTCGGCTTGGTGGGGCAGCAGACTATGTTCAGCTTAGCGCGTGTATACTTGGCGATCCGATAGTTTGGATCAGATTTCGAGGTATAGACTGCTCTCTATTTCTACACTTCACATAGTGAAGAACCTGTAAATTCTTGTAACCACAATGACTGACGTGAGCAATCTGACACCTTTCCTCCTTCTTGCAACCTCGCCCATGTTAAGTAAGTGTTTAGTTTTCTTGTGCCGTACGAGGTTGTCAGGTGGAACATTTATTTAGAAGGCCTAACGTTTCGACACAATCGTCGTCTTCAGAGGCCTGAACGTGTTTCAAGTATTAGATTCTTGGCAACGCTACCGAACCGAAGCCCCCGTCCACTCTAGGCGGTTCGCGACGGTCGTGTCAAGGAACCTCTTGAGAATGAATACGCCAAACATCCGCAAGAAACAGAACTTACCAAATGGTTCCGACGCACCGTTTAAGCGGATAGGTCCGCTGCCACACTAGAGCGCTGTTAGTAGGAAAATGAACCGTACTACGTTGTCTCCGATAGTGACATATCGAGGAGACGCACGTCACGCTCTGTCATTCACAGTCGCCGCAGTGGGGTATACAAAGCGGTACGCAAGGTCATGTTATGATGGCAGGACACTCATCTCGATTGTTCATTCTGGGTCTTCTAGTGAATATCCAGAATGCTTCCAACGCTTTCCTGGCTGAAAGTTCCGTCTCATTTGCCAGCACGGTGCACTTTATTTCGAACTCGGTCCCATTATGTTCCACGACCTTATGCCTCCCGAGAGCAGTTGTAAGGGTACCGCTGAAGCGTCTCAATGCTGATGCAAGGTGTTCTCATGGTACGAGTATCAAATGAGAAGCCATTGAAAGCGGTCAGCTGGTCCATCAACAGAACCCCTATGATAAGGCAGTGATATCAGAAAAATTCCTGTTATTTGCCGCCCACACGGGAAGACTGGTGACTGTGCGCAATCGGGAGTGATTTATGAAATCCAGTGTCGGGCATGTAACTCCACATATATTGGGGAAACAGGAAGGCTTTTGGCTACTCGTATCAAGGAACACCTTGCTAGCATGAGACGCGGTACCCTTACAACTGCTCTCGGGAGGCATAAGGTCGTGGAACATAATGGGACCGAGTTCGAAATAAAGTGCACCGTGCTGGCAAATGAGACGGAACTTTCAGCCAGGAAAGCGTTGGAAGCATTCTGGATATTCACTAGAAGACCCAGAATGAACAATCGAGATGAGTGCCCTTTCCATCACAAATGACCTACTACCGTTTATACCCCACTGCGGACTGTAGAATGACAGAGCGTGACGTGCGTCTCCTCGATATGTCACTATACGGAGACAACGTAGTACGGTTCATTTTCCTACTAACAGCGCTCTAGTGTGGCAGCGGACCTATCCGCTTAAACGGTGGAACATTGGTAAGTCTGTTTCTTGCGATGTTGGCGTCTTCTCAAGAGGTTCCTGACACGACGTCGGAACCGCTAGAGTGGACGAGGTGCTTGGTGGGGTAGGTTGCAAAATCTAATACTTGAAACACGTTCAGGCCTCTGAAGACGACGATTGTGTCGAAACGTTAGGCCTTTAAATAAATGTTCCACCTTACAACAACCTCGTACGGCTCAAGAAAGACTGAAACAATGACTGACGAGAGCAATCTAACACCTTCATGGGAGCTTACAGGTCTGACCAAATGTTGACCTGTTACCTAATGTGAACCAACAAAAGAAACTAGCAAAATAGCGAATGTCCCTCCCAATCCAAACAACGTCTTTTCATTGACTCTCATTTTTTTGAAACGTTCGCTGTTGTTTAGTATTAGTTTGAAGAACAGGAGAACATCTTTTTCAAATGCGCTGCTCACCTCTATATCAGTATTGTTACAGATCCGTCGCTTATTGTGTTGAGCAAGCCGTCGAAAGCGGGGAAGTCAAGTGAAAACCTTGTGGAACATACCGAAGAGTGAGTCATTGCTGCTCATATGCTTGTATTTATTTATTTATTTTGCATATTTTGCTCTTAAGGCAAGGCGTACGGTTTTTGGGGGACCCGAGCAAGGGGTGGTGTCTGAGTATCCACGGAGTAGTCGTAGTCGTAGCCGGATGAGTAAAGACTGCATCAATGTGAAGAGACATGGAAATTGTAGGAATCACTGGCGCTTTTACATGTCCAGCTGAAACTGCTATAGACTATATAAGTGTCCGCTACCAATTTTGCAGACGACCAGAAATGCTAATGGAGCCGACAATTGATGTGGATACCTACGAAGAAGTTACTGTAGGTGAGGAGTACTATGATGGAGCAGGGTGAGAGTTCTCAATGTCACTTTTCATCCGTTCCCTTTTTACTATGAATTTTCCTCTTTTCCAATCAAACTGGACGTTTTCCAAGCCAAATTCAATGTTTTTCAATTCAAATAGGACGATTTTCGGTCCAAGTTAGACAATCTGCATGTGCATTTTGCACGTGCAATGTGTCTGACAGAAGTACACCACATCACTGTTCGTTTTGAAAAGTTTCGAAGTTGATTTGAAAGAATATCCGGAGAATGTTCGAAAACATCCTCTTCGATTTGAAAGAAATAGTTTACGTAACCGAAAATCCATTCCCATTTTACAAACTGGTGATTAACAAACATTAAGGGCTACAGCTTCACCGTATTTATCGTCTGAAGGCCGCGAGATCGCTGGACATACTTACCGTGAACTGAAAGGAGAAAACAATTATCTTAAGGAGCAGCTCCAAGCGAGTATGTTGAGGTAAGTCAAATCGGTGTTCGGTCACCGGTGAGGTCTTCCAAAAACCGCTTTGGATTCAAGGCATTCTTATTGTTCCCCTTGGTAATCCAATGACGGATCCACTTGGAGTATCGCGGTGCAAAACTCATTTTAGGAAATATCTCGTCACTGCGCAGGAGGGCAATATTTGGCCTTTAGGAAAATTTTTTCGATTGAGGCTCTTCCTCGTTCCAGATCGCTATACCCCTTAGCCGGAGGTCCGGCAAAGGGGTATAGAGATCTGGAACGAGGAAGAGCCTCAATCGAAACAGACACTGTTTCGGATAGCTGACTGTAGGGGCTACTGTGTAGGACTGGAGAGGACCTCCCTCGATGGCGTTTGGGGGAAAGAGGAACTTGGTAAAAAAAAAGGTGGGAAATTGATACAGAGCTGGAGAAACTAGGGGAAGTGGTAGGTGGGCTGAGTGAGGAGAATTTTGGGACGATGTTTGGGTGATCGTACTGACACCGCAATATTTCTTTCAACGTAGCAATGCAGTACCCTGCGTACATTAGAAATGTCGTAGCCCCCACAAGTGAAAATGTTGCAGAGTGAAACAGCTCGAGACACTACTTCTACAGCGAAATGGCCATGTGAAGAAGTTGGTGTCAGAGAACCTCCAACTATCGATTAAGTGTCGAAAACTGATGTCTGCTTTGGGGGAAGATGAAATAAGAGAAGCATTGTAAGTGTCTGTACGATTTTTACGTGGGTTTCTGAAAGGCTGATCCTCCAATTTCAGGAGTTGACGTTTCGGTCGCTTCACGATGCACGCACTTCACACATTATGTCGTCGAGATATTTTCGCTGTTCTGGAAACTTTCCCCTGAGCACTGTTCTTGTATTGCTGGACCTTAGATATAATGCATAAAGCTAGGGGGGAGGGCTAGCTAATGTACAAATCTCGATCTGGCATTTGAAAATCAGCGTTTCGAGCGGAAGAGATAGTATAGGTATTGATGGGCGCCCAGGAGCTGATTCGAATAAACGCCGGATCGCAAAATATGAAACGCAACCCGTCTGAGCCTGTAGGAAGAAGCCACGGGCTCGTCTATGCCTTCCACCACGACTTTTGATGAAAGGCGGAGACGAGCAGCCTTATTCACGCTGCAGCATGGGCTCCTCAAACTTCGCCAGTCTTTACATCTGTTACCTTGTTTTTGTTGATGCATTTCCCATAGCCTATATTGTTTGCTTGTTGATTTTTATACATTTGTTATTAAGTGTAACATTTATTACACGCTAGGCCCTGTTTGTGTTTTAGGATACCACTGATGGGGAGGTTGATTTATGAGTGTAGTTGGGAGGCAGCATTATTCGCTGAGGCGTTCGGGCCAAGTGGCTGGGTTTGGCGCTCAGCTTCTTACCAACTGTGGTCGCCTGTCAGTTCACAGTTGTTAAATGGCGAGTTGATGCCGCTCCAAACCCAGCCCTCTGATAGGTCCCAGCGTCCGCAGCGAACAAGACTGTACTTTGCAGCTTGTGCAGGATACAGCATATTCCCTAGCTCATTGATTCAACATGTCGAAGCACTTTCACGTTGAGTCAGCTGGGTCCTGGTGTTCATGCCTTGCACGACACTTCGCCGCATTGGAATCTTCCACACTTCATTCTGGAATGGTTTCAGGATTCCGTAGTTTATTTGTTGCTTAGCTGGGTTGTTAAACATCGTATATCCTTTCTCATTCTTTAATGTCTTCCATGAACAGGTACATGCCTGTTTTCGTACAGTTTTTTTTTCAAAATAAATCTTTGAAGAAATGGAGCAGTGATCACGACTAGTAACAACGAGATATCACATAGCTGTAGGGGGAACGTCCTAAGACTAACTAAAGCTACTGATAAAACAATCTATGTAATCTCGCTCGCTGTGGATGATGGGGCATGTCAGCGCAGCGGCGTTTGGCGCAGCACCTTTTTTTCTTTTGGCAAGCGGCAAGACTCTACCACATCCTTCGTATCAGTCGTTTTCCACCATTTGTTGCCTTTTAGCAAATGGTAGAGAACGGGTGGGCAGCGCGCCAAACGTAGCCGAGCTGACACTGTCCCATTATCCCCAGCGAGCAAAACTGTACATTGGCAAGAGGACAAGGAACTAGCAATCTACGCCTCTTGTTGTACTTTCTCAGGTTCGTTCCTCTTTCGCAGTACATTCTTCAAGTAGTATTCACCCGCTTTATATGATGATCGTACTAATGGACCAGATGCGACGTACAGGAATCCCATCTCCCGGGCAATGCGTCCCCATTCATCAAACCTGAACGGAGGATTATCATGATTGCGACATACTCATGAAAGTAAGTAACTTTGAGCGGGTTCATACTTCGCGATACAAGCAATCGATTCGCGAAGTATAAACACGCTCTAATACATACTCGGGTAGTCAGGAAGGAGCAAAGGTTTTGGCAGCCCAGCTCTCCCTTTGTCCTCCCTTTGCCCCAAATTACACCTTGTGCTGTGGTAGAGCTACACATTCTCCTGCAGGAAACTGACTACTTGACTCTCAGCGAGGAAGGATATGGGACGAACAAGGGATGATTTCGGACGAGCTAGGCAGGATCTACGCCCCCACAGTCCTCGGGAACTGCGACAAACACAGTCCTCAAGAAGGAAAAAGTGACCGGAAGTCCTGGGCGTAGATCCTGCCTAGGCTCGTCAGCTATTATCTGGGGCATTCCGTGCCCAAAAAATTGAAAAAACAACTCGAGCGCAGTTCGGCTTAGGGGGACATTTGGTCCCCATTTGGCAATGTCAACACCTCACACGAACACCTGTAAATTTCTGCAGAGCTATGCAACTAACAACAGCTTACAGGTCTCAACAATGTGAGACATGCAATTCAGAAACAATCCATAGAAACTAGCGAAAAAGCAAAAGGCCACCCCCTCCAAGCCCTGAGCCGAACAGTGCCTAATTTGAGAGTACTTACTTTTGAGGAGTTACCCATTCCTTCACTAGTAAATGCCGCTTGGTTGGTTGCATGTATTGGCCAAATGTGACCACATCTACGTCATTACTTCGTAAATCAGCTAAACACTGTCGAACCTAAACCCTCTTCGTATAAGAAGAACACGAGCAGGAAAAAATCAACGGAGCTACCTCATCGTCTTGCTCGCCAAGACCAAGCATTATTGATGTTTTCGTGATAAGTTTAGGATTTGTTGTTTTAGCCCGTTTCAGTGCTGCAACAGAAACGATGTCATTGAAAGTAAAGCAATACAAACTGACAGAAACATGAGGCTAAGAGGCTAACCTGCAAGGGATTGGTGATACTTCGCTCTTGGATCTCGAACCCATGGTGTTAGTCGTTCAACAGTCTCCACATTATGAGCATAGACGTCAAGACCACTTCTAAATGAAACGAATCAAGCAGGTTCATTCTAGAACGAAGGCGGTGACCTCATCATTGTTTCATTTTCTACAGAGAAGGACGATTTATATAAAGATTGCTGGGCGCAGTTAGGCTTGGGGGGGGGAATCGTCGTGTCGATCCATTAAACAGAAATCT